TTCCAACCTAAACGATTCTATGATTTTATGACTCCCTGATGTTTAGCGCCCTGAGCACGGTTACGTGTTTACCTAGCTTACGGCTGGCAAATGCTGTGGACAAACAGTGTCCAGGTGGTGTGCCTGCTACTAACAGATGTCCTGTGCGTGTGCTCTTGCTAGAATATGGCCGCACCCTCGAGGAGGACATTGTCTCTGATACATCTTCCATGTTTCGAAGAGTCCTCGTGTCCCTTGCGACGGTAAGCCCAGGCTAAGGGAAATGGGGGTGAATCTTCCTGCTGCTGAGGGACATGCCTCTCACCTCAGTGATGAGGTGTTTCAGGCTGGCTTTTATGTCACTTCTCTTGCATTTCACCTCGCCTGCATTTCACACCCAGCTTCTGCGGGCAGAGGGGACCGACTCTGGGAATGCATTAATGCCAAAGTGGATCGCTGCTCGTTTCAAAAGGAGGTGCAAATCACATCTGAGCCATATCTTGCTGTATTTGTAAGCTACTGTTCGATTTTAAGAATCCCACTATGCATCTTCAGTAACTCATTTTGAATGGGGAATTTGCAGGACTTGATTCCATTAGTTGCTCTCCTGAAATGAGTTTTTCATCCTTGTATCTCCGCAGGGAAACAGAGATGAGGGAACGTACGTGGATGATGCCCTTGCTCAACAAGATGCTCAGGTGCGTCGCAATTTGCTTCTGTGCAAAAATTGTCTGTAGTTGTCCACGTGATGCGTGGTGGCTCCCTGCTTTTTCTAGACCTCATTTTTTTTTCGAGGTAGAACAGTAAGCCTGAAGCTGTGCTACACAGCAGCACCCGAGGTGGGCACCGGGGCTATAGTCAGTTTTGACCCTTAGAGAAGCCCCTTCACTGCTCTGAGTCAGCTGGTGAATTGGGGATAATGGTTCCAGCCTCCTTTGCAACTCCGTGGTGAGAGGTCTCTAGCCAGGGTGGGTATTTGGGCGGGGAGATGACGTTTCAGTTGAGAGGTGCTGTGCTTGGTTAGTATTTGTTGTAAAGCATCTGCGGTCTAGACAAGCCACAGCCTGGCAGTGCTCAGGCACCAGTAAGTAAAAATCTCATGTTATCTATACCTGGTCTTCTCCTTTAGCCTTACTTTGGCTATTCATCGTGTCTTCCAGTGCCTGTATGAGGCTGGGGAGAAGAAATGGGGGACAGATGAGGTACAATTTATGGCCATCCTCTGTACACGGAACAGATACCACCTACTAAGAGGTAGGACCCTCTGCGGTGTCCTGGATTTTTTTTCCTTGTTTGAGGACGATGCTTCTGTAGGAGCTTTGTACTTGTCCGTTAACTGATTGTGGACTCTCCAAGAGCCCAGTTGCATTCAATTCTTTAAGACCATTTTATTCCTTCCCGAGACAAAAAGGGACTTGAGAAAAACATCAGTACAACTTGCTCCAGCCTGTAAATTGAAGACAATAAAGTGTGACTCCCATGGGGCAGAGCTAAGCTTTTAAACTGCCGTCATTAACTAGCAGTTCTTGAAAATGCTAGCAGCGGTGGTAGGCCAATTAGCAAGACAGTTGATAATTAAAATGAATTCTTTCTGTGGGACAGCCCTGATTTAGCTTACAATGTCACAATAATGGTACAATGATCATGCAGAGTATGAGGAGCTTGATCTTGCAAAGTGATCCTTGGTGGTTTACACACTGTATGCCCTGAAGCATCTCACTCGCTCTTTTTATCGCTGACTTTTCCTCCTAGTTTTTGATGCATACAGAGGGATTGCTAATAAGGACATAACAGAGAGCATTAAATCTGAGATGTCGGGAGACCTCGAAGATGCTTTGTTAGCTGTGGGTGAGTGTCCTGCTTTTAAACTTTGTCTGCAAGCTAATTAAGTATGTAGAGATGTTGTATCTTGCCCTGGCTGGCTGTTTACGTAGCTTCAAGAGGCAGATACTGTTCGTCTCTCTTGCAAGCCACAGTGTTTTACTCCTTGCAGATACAATCGGGTGAGAAAGCTCTGTGCTTTGTGATATTGTTCGCTTTCCCAAGCGATGCTTTCGTGGCTGACTTTTGCTGCCAGGAAGCATTAAAGAAGATTTTACTGTGCATGGGGACATCAATTCACAGCAGGTCACTATGGATGCCTGCATTGTACTTGCTGTGCCAACAAACAGCATCTTTACAGAATTAACACCTTCGCTGAGAAAGTGCTGTAAAGGTTTGGAAGACCACCTCCCTCAGGTTTTATTGACCTTAATTCTCTTGTTCTTGTCTCCCTTACAGTAAAGTGCATGCGGAATAAACCTGCATATTTTGCTGAAAGATTGTATAAATCCATGAAGGTAAAGAGCTTTTCGTGTGAGATTGCTTTTCCTACAACCCCCCCCCCTGCATTTCCATGCTCGAGTCAGCAGCATATGACAGCAATCATTAGATAGAGAGAAACTCTGCCATTAACTGGGGAATAAAAAATAAATTCTGAGCTTTTATAGGGACCTCTTTTCCCTCAGGAAGCTCAGAGCAATAGGCTTACTTGGCAGCAAGCTGCTAGCGGATCACTCCACTAATGCAGAAATGCTCTAAAAGTAGGAACAGATCCCACAAAAGACCAAGTGATAAAACCTTTCTGTCTCTCACTGATTATCACAAAAGCTTTCTAGTTGTAGATGGTTGGTTTATTTCTCTAGGGCTTGGGGACGGACGACAACACGCTGATCCGAGTGATGGTGTCCCGCTCTGAAATCGATATGCTGGATATCAGAAGGGAATTCCTGACCATGTATGGGAAATCGCTCTACTCCTTCATTAAGGTAAGCTTTCCAGTGCTGGATCCAGAGCTGGGTTTGCTAAGCAGCTTGAAGGAGACAGGTCCCCACTTGACACCTATTGGGTATTTTAGAGGAGGTGGAATTAAGGAGACTTTACATTTATGTAAGGAAAATGTTCCCGAGTGTTCTTAGCTCTTACATTGTCAAAGAGGATGCAAACCCTACAACAAATCATATGTGCTGGAAAGAATCCAGCCTGGTAGAGAGCTGTAAAACTAATTGCATTCCTTTTTTCTTTTCTCTCTAGGGAGACTGCTCAGGAGACTATAGGAAAGTTCTGCTCAGACTCTGTGGTGGGGAGGATTAGAGGGTGCCTGGTGTACTGCCTGGGTGATGGGAAGCAGCTGATCATAAGGATTTCTTTCTTTTTCATTTTTCCCAAGTATCTTACTAATTGCTAAGAGCATCGACTTAGGTTAGTTAATGCTCTGGTTAGATAATGGCCATTCTGGTTGACCCTTTTGATACGCTTTTATGCTTGGGACACCCCTTTGTTTAGTAATTGGGCAAGCCAAGCCCATCTTAAACAGAATGCTGTAGCCAAATCTATAAAAGCTAAATTGTTTCCCGACAAGCTGTCCCTTTGCCGTCACGTTCACCAGCAAAACCTACCAACCGAAGCAAACTGGGATGCAGAATACGAGAGGCTGCACAGGGAAAATTTCACCTCATCAGTATGGGGAGAGTGCAGCATGCAGGGAGAGTGCAGGCTTGCTTCAGGTTTTGCAAAATAATTAAAACACAGAGAAATCAATCATTTAAAATACAAGCACATTTTGGTCTTAACTTGCCCTCTGTTAGCGTGGAGCATGAACAGCCTTGCTGCGCTTTAGGTATATGTTGCCTATAGATCTGTAGGTAGGGAAGATGTCACTGGTGACATCAGAAAAGGCGCTTGCTGCCCTGGTTACTGGTCAGCCCTGTATTCCCGGTCTGTCTTCCTTGACTCGCGGGAGCACAAATCCTCAGCGTTACATTACAAACCCTTCCTCTGGATAAAGCGATGTCATTAGAACGGTGCCTTTTAAGGAGTGACCTGTCCCCCCAAAATGCCTCTCATCAGACTACCTGACGCCTTAGACCGGGGTGCCTTATGCTGGGGCAGCTCACCAGCTCTCACCAGCGCTGGCTGGTCGGAGCCCCGAGTAACACTCCCGGTGGAGGCTCCGGTTTTTGTGCCTGTGCCCAACTTGGCCTTCCACACCAACCTCTAGAAGAGCCTTTTCCCCCAGACCCTACACAACCTCAGCCTGTTAAGCTGAGCATTGTTTTCACTACAAAAATGTGGTTCTTGTTTGTCTTTATATTTTTTTTTTTGCTGTTGGTATATAATCCTGTTTTGAAGGCATCAGACTGAGGTTAGAATTTGAAGGCACAAATACCAATAGGGCCTCATGTCACTTTTTTTTTCTAAATTAGGCTACTGTTGAGTGGAACAGGAGATGCTTCTGTGGCCTCAAATAAAATAATTTTCTTTCTTGCTCTCTGTGCTGTGACTGGAGATACATTCCTTAGTTTGGGTGGGAGAGGAGGCAGAGCTTTTCCCAGTTCTACTGAAGCCTTCTGCTCTGTGAAAGAAAATGTCTGACCCAGTACAACAGGCTAACAGAGGCACTCAGGCTTGGTTTTGTGTTTAAATGCTTCGTGTTGTGTTGCTGCCTTTTAAAAAACAAATAAACGATTTGTTTCTGTACCTTCTGCCATGACCGTCTGCTCTGGGAGAGGCAATGGTGAAATAACCGCGTCCTTGCTTTTTTCAACAACTTCCGTGCAAGTTTTTCTCCTCCGCCTGGCCCTCCG